TCACCACAGTGCCTGTGAAAGTGGTGGATATCTCCCTTGTTGTTTTGTGGTTGGTAAATATCCACTGCTGGCCACCTCCACTTCAGTGAATAATTTTTAAATATTGTGCAAAATTTCCTTTTCCTTTTTTTCAACGTTTTATTTGGTGACTACAATTTCATATCAGGGACCATGTTATGAACTAGCAATACCAAATGAAGGATCTGAAAAAAAGTTGAGCTCCTGGCACTGATCATAACTTTGAATATAAACAACTTAGTAATAAGTAAAAATGAAAGGTCTATCAAAGGATATCTTTATGGATAATTCCTTGACTGTGTAAATACTCAAGACCATTCAACAACTGAGTGAAATACCTACAAAAAATATAAAAAGGAAGTCAAATCTAGTTTCCTAACAGAAAACTGAGGAATCAATTTTAACAATGTGTGGATAAAAGCATCAACATGGTTTTCTTAAGTTCCACAACAGTCCATGTTGTTGCCTTCTTCTGTTGCAGCTTATTGTTTACTTACCCATGGGCCTGCCATATGGGAAATTTATGTCCTTCAACACTTTCCAACATCTCTTGGAGTTCTCCTACACAATATTCCATAATCATATACCTTCACAAAAAGTCTGTCAAGGTTTTAACCAGAGCATTGCTCAGTTCTTTCATGATATTTAATCAACAGTAACAAGTGTGTTAGTTGCAGGTATCAGACAAGCTCATGTTTTCTTATCTGTTGGAAGATCATAGTTTTATAATGCTATGTGGGATAAAGAAATACAAAATTCAAAACAATGCATGGAAGCAAATTAATTTTAAGCACAGCTACATGACATCATTTGGTTAATCCTAGAGATTTGAGTAAAAAAGAAAAAAGCTACAGTATTCCAGGTTACATTTAAACAAATATTACTGTCAAATCTGCTTGAAGGTCTACCAAAACCAATTCACATTTAAGGAGAAAATGAGGGCTATCTAGACCCTACCCCCCCTCTATAAAAAAAAAAAAACAAAGAAAAAACAATTTTTTTCAAAAAGTGTTGATCAACATATATTGTTTTTAGGGTTTCATAAAACATGTACATGTACATAAAGTTCTACTATTATCATGTATTTCAAATAAAGAAATAATTTGTAATTGATTTCCTATTTCACTACATTCTTGGAGGTCTTACATTGTATAATTTTCATGTTCACATACTCTCACTACAGAAGCGACAAAAAATAACAACAACGGGTAGAAATAAGATTTAAGGTACTGTATCAAAGTATTGTATCGTTGTCAATGTAAGTAAATAGCGTAAAACAATGAATAGTATATTAGATTTCCGCAGAAATGCCGGTCAAAAAATGTGCGGAATGCAATGCTTCTGTTTTCACATAAAGGATACATTTTTTGTTTTTGTTCGTCGTACATCACATCGTACAGTTTAATGACATTTGGGTGGCACAGCCGTTTCAGCAACTGAATTTCTCTGTCGATTAATAAAGTTTGAAAGATATACAAGGTTACAATCTTGTCTATTAAAATTGAATCTATCAATTAGGATATGATCCCATACTTAAAATCAATGACACACACTCTATTGACAAACTTCCTTCGGTAAATAAAAAAAAAGTACGAAGAACACGCTATCACCTCTGAACATTTTGCTCTCCATTAGGAATTCTTCTCAGTTTTCGTCGTTTCATGATTTTCACAGCACAACGTCGAAGATTTTCGCTGTCGAGCATTTCCTTCACTTTGCCGTAAGATCCCTCACCAAGCGCATCTCCCATTAAATATTTCCCAATAAACTTAGCTCTCTTCCTTCGAGGTTGATATATAATCTGATCGGAGTCAACCCGATGAAAGAAAATGTTTGGATCTTCATCACCAAGAAACGCAGGACTGTCGATGTTTTCGTAAAATCCGTCCTCGCTTCCGACCACAAACAGTCGCTGGACACCATTCTCTACAACCATACTTTCCACCATTTGAAGGCATTGGTCAGCACGACCAAAATAACTGCTATTTCATGATGCTCGTCTAAAAATTTCTAAGACTTTACGATACACATCGTCCTCGACGTCCGCCATTTTGTTTGCATCGTGACATCAGAGGAAATGTGACGTCACTCGTTCCTGACGACAGAACTTCCGGGAAGCTAATAAGCCAAACTTGCCTGATGTGAGGAAAACAATTTAACATTTCCAAGCATCTGTTATCTAACTTTTGAGGAACGAAACCCTATTTAGTAGTGATCCCGATCCCTTCTGAAAGGAGTACCCCAAAAGACTAATGTGCGCAAATTCTACGAGATTAGGGCTATCACACAGAATCTTTCTTAAACTTACTTGCTCTGAATAACAAGGAGAAATGTGTTTTTCTCAAGAAAGTAATTTTTTAAGGGTCATCTATGTGGTTTTTATCTCTTTTCGAAGACCAACTGTGACTCGACTTATTAAAAGATATCTGTGTTTCTATCATCACCCGTAATTATAAATTTCAAATAGTTCATTTCTCACTGTTTCCCTTGTCAACTTTTCCGTCATTTCTGCCATAAAACTCACTTTTCTTCCACACGTTAGAGAATGTGGAAACTTGATGACATGCTAGCCACAAAGATAACAAAGAAAATTTTCTCGTACATCATTTTAAAAAACGTCAAAACGTCAATCACTGTCACTGACAAAATTCCTTAAAAACTCCTTAAACTCCAAAGAGTAACTAGCATCTAATTTCTCCCCTCGATGTCACGCCTGAATCAAACATCAAGGTCACGAGAATAAAGGAAATATCATTATCTAAAGAATGTCTTGATTGTTAAACAAATTCTCCTTGTTTGCACTTCAGGATTTGTGCAGAGAACGGTATGGAGAATATGTATACTAGTGTTAAGGTACCAAGGGTTATTATTCTACCATTTCCTATACAAATTGTGATAAGGTATCTTCAAAGTAAACAAGTACGAAGTTTTTTATTTCGTTATAACAGACACCTTCAAAGACAGTAAAATGTACTTGTTGTTAGAGCAGAACGCGAACAATCAAATAAACTGTGCTAGGACTTAGCTAATTCCACAATTGTTCACCTTGAAAATTTGGATTTAGCTGCGAGGTCAGAGTTACACATTAAAAGAAGAAAGGACTGACTATGTCGAAAACGTGAAAGAATGTACCACGCTTCCTTATTAAGTCACGGTTTATTCACTTGATTTAGCGATTCTATTACAACGCTTCGGTTGACTCCCACTCACAACTCTCGTTTTATTAAAAAAAAAAAACAACACACCATTGAACGTCCCGTTGTAAGCACGTGGAACAGTGCCATATATGGGGGGATAAAGCACGTGCTGCATACATGTTAGTTTGGTTATGTAGAGATAAACGAAATCACTTATAAATGTCAGTCAAATTAAGAATAATTAATGCATCGTGCGGTTTCCAACAACTGGACTTTCAATTGAGTCCATGCGTGGTCCTTAGGCAGATAGGAAATGGGAATTCTAAAGGCTCAACGTCCAGCGTAGAATCGCATCAAGGGGCGCTTTCCATCAAGCGCTTCTCTCAAAAGCTTCCGGATCGTTTAAACTTATAACATGTGACTAAGTCTACGTTTGAATCAGGCACTGACAACTTCTCATGCTTGGTGTAAATCAAATATTTCTATAGGTGAAACTGATTGAAAAATAAATGTCATCTCCCCCGTGATTATACATTTAAATCTAGTTGAAAAGTCCTCTCATCAGTCATCTTTTTAGTTGGCCACCTGACGATCAGTTTGCCGCGGAGGAGACCTAAATATTCAGACAAGCACAAAATCCTACCGATCAAGATAAAGATGCAAAGGAAAATCAGACATGCACGACTTTCATAATGGCGGACGTAGCGCGAGGCCTGGTGAGAATAGCATGAAAACGAGGTCACAAAGGCCTAGAGTCTACAGGGTACTTAGGCGTAGTGACGAGGGAGCCTTGGGTGGATAAATTTAACATGTACACAAATAAAAGTCTTTCAAGGCTTGAGTGGTTTGAGTCCAAGCTTGGCTCTGAGTTCGTTTGCTTCTTTGATTTCTAACTCTTCTTTGCTCATCCCTGCTCCCTCATTATCTTTATCCTTTTTCTTGTCCGATTTGTCGGATTTCTCTGATTTCTTTGACTTCTTGGATGACGACTTCTCCGGTGATTTTGATCGAGACTTGGATCGGTGACGCCGACGATGTGGCGATCGTGAGCGAGAGCGTGACCTTGAATGGCGACGATGAGGTGATCGACTACGACTTCTGTGTCCACGTCTTCTATGAGGTGAAGCACTGGGGACAAAAAGAGAAAACAAAAACTCTTAACTGACTTTCTCCACAACTTAAAAAACCCACAGATCAAAATACACTCACGCACAACTGATGTTCAATGCCGATTCGCTTGGTGAAAGACTGCTGCTGAATGTGAGTTACTTTAGTCTAGGATCAAATTTTCTAAAGAAGTCCACGAAAGGCTTAGTATTTGATTCTCGCAGTAAATTGACAACAGCAATAGCAGGGACGGATATAATTCGAAATAGAAATTTCAGTCTGCAGTAGCATTCAAATTGTAAATAGCTTACCTCCGGCGCCGACGGCGAGGGGATCTGGATCGACTTCGTCTGAAAGAAAGACAAAGACACAATCATAGTAACCTTTCTTCCTATTTGTTTCATTCTGACTGTTCTTCTGTTTGTCTTTCTTAGGAAAAATAGCATATTGAGGTTTTCCCCTAAATGAAAAGGAAATTTTTGTCGTTGCAAAAATCCGTTTGAAACCTGTCAAAGTATCTTCTATATCAAAGGTTCTTCGTTCTCCAAGATTGACCAAAAGATAATTATCAATATTTGCAACACGTACCTGTGATGTGCAGGTGATCGGCTGCGTTTTCGGTTCCTGTCGTGATCGCGATGCGAACGCCTTGGCGAATGACTCCGACTTCTGCTTCGGCGACGCGGAGACTAATTAAAGAATAAGAGTTGGGCTCCCAAGATAAAGCAAAGTTGTAAAAGTAATGTAAGGTTATAGAAGCCGCCTATTATCTACCAATGGTTGGCCCCAGGTTAGGGGACAGGGCGGGCTGTCCTCCGAAAATGACTGAGAGGACCCCTCGTAAGTAGAGATTTTGACATTGAAGGAATTTCTACCTCAGGGTCGGGAATTTGAACTGACCGCCATCTTGATGGACGGAAAGAAACTGGAAATGAGCTGGGGGACAGCCCTGCACCTCTGAGAAAAATATGGTCGTGTCCTATACAAAGGGTATATTCATTTTTAGGCATACAGTTTATGTGGTCAAAGAATTCTTAAAGATAAGCATAGTGGAGAAAGAAATAAGAAAAACAACAGAAGAATGTCGCCAATCATACCTGTCTTTCTTCTTCCTCATCTGACTCTGATTCAACATCTTCCAAATCATCATCAAGAAGGCTACGCTGTAAATTAAAAAGCAGACCCCAAATATCAAACCACTAACGAGAGGACTTTTTGATATGATAAAAATTATTTTCACTAAATTGTTGAATATCTGATCAAAAATGGGAACTGAATTCTTCCTAAACAAATTTTTTGTCTATCAGCAATGTATAATGAACTGTTGTTTTTCTTACCCTTGGTTCAAGTTGATTGGTGTTTTCCAACACTTGGCGTTTCTGAAAATGGATTGAAATTATAAAATTATCATAACTTAATTGCCTATAAAACAAAGGAAAAAATCAAGCTAAAAGTGATGAAAAAATAAAAAGCCTTGAGAAGAAACATCCCCTGAATTTCTTAAGTCACTTTTAACTGAGCTCCGAAGTCACTGAATTTTAGCACAATGCTTAGTTTAAGTTGGCAAACAATGTGCAAACCTTTGTTTGCTAATTGTAAACTGGCCTTGGTTTCATGAACATGAGAAACATAGTTTTTAGTTTCTTATGAATCAAAGACAGCCGCAAGGAGAGTAGAGAATTTTGCCCCAAGCAAAAAAAAGAATGCAAACCTAGCAAAATAAAGTTCAGAACCATGTTTGTTCATTGAAATAAGAGTTGGTAACAACATTCAACAAATTTGGAATATATTTTAAATTAAAAGGAAAAAACAAAGGACTCTTTTGCCTTGAACTGTCAGTTATTTCCTTAAAAAATAATCAAGATTGCAGCATACACATTCGAGGTAACAGTGAGACGTCAATCATTAAATTTATTTTCTTCCATCTATTTTTCTTTTATATAATTCACATGATGGTATATTAATTTTTCTTTACAAAAAAATGGTCTCACCTGAATGCGAGGCAGAATAACATCACATGCCCTGTCCTCTCTGAGTAATTCATCAATGAACTCATCCATGTGGGAAAGCTCCATTTCTGCACAAAGAGAATATCATTCCACAAAACGTAAGAAAAATTCAAACAAACGTTACCTTTTAATCCTGGATTTGCACTAATTGTCACCTCCTCACTCCTATGGAATTCTCCTTACTGTCTGCCACACGATTCTTATCATGTTAGTTTGGAGACTTTGGTATTGGATCAACTAATGATCCCCTAATTGCCATTTTTCATCACTGGTCACCCTACATTGTATTGACATCGTATTGATATTGTAAGGAGGAATTCCTTCTTGGCCACTCATAGGGGGCTAAATGGTTAATATCCTTCATTTTCAGCTCATAAAAATACTGAATGGTTAGCACATGGACAAGTATACCTAAAATTTTATAGTGCAATGCATTGACAGGTTTGTTTAAGTACATGTACATACCAGTCCTGAGAAAGGTATTTATTAGTATTTCCATAAAAAAACAATTTATTCAAATATAAACATAAGGAAAGCAACAAGCCAGAAAACTTACTGCCCATCTTATTTCTCCTTCTGATCTTTCTGTAGTCATTGTACAAAGGTTCCAGGTAATTGTAGCAATCAAGTGATGTCCCTACAAGTCTCATGTATATGGCCCCTAATGCTCGCACATACCTAGATGTTGTTGGTATAAATATAACTTGAATGCCTCCAAAATAAAAAATTTTAAAACAATTACTTACTAAATTAAAAAAAAAAATGCCTTTACAAAAATTCGCTGAGGATTGTTACTTCTTGGGTCTCATCCATGCTAATTCCCATTTTCATAAATTTGTAAAATGTATAATTTGTCATGTTTTTTCACCAATCAAGTACTCCTCACCCACCAAAAGTGACAATTAAAAGTAAGATAAGTTAGTTTTATAAACTGAGTTGAAAACATTCATTGGCCACAATAAAAAGTTTCTAAAGCTGACATCTCTAGTATTAGCCCTTTGTCAGTAAGTGCAAATGACTAAGGACTGACGATCAAAACAACTGCTTTAACCCTTTAACTCCCAAGATCTCTTTAGTAATTCTCCTTACTGTCTGCCATTTAGTTCTTGTGATGTTAATCTGGAGAATTTGGTATTGGATCAACCAATAATTCCCTAATTAATATTTTTCTTTATTCTCATCACTTGTCTGCTTGATATTGTATTGACACTATAGGGAGAAATTCTGTCTTGGTCACTCATGGGAGTTAAAAGGGTTAAAAACTATCTATAGGGGCCAACTCATATCATCGACTCAGCGGATAAAACTACATTTTCTTTTCAAACACATGTACAGAACCAGTTTCTTAAGAAACTAACCCCCTTAAGTCAAACATGAGGCCTTAGTGCAGATGATGGGCAAAAATGCATCACAAAATATCCAAATGAACTTTTACACAGGTGAAGACAGAACCAAAAACACTACTGTGGACAAGAATATTTCCTTTAGTTTTAGTTGAGATGAGAAAAGATACTTTGAAAAGATAACTTGTGGTTGAAGCCTTTGTCATCAATTTATCTTGAATTCTGACTTACTTGTAATCTTCATTTTTGATAAACTCCACAACAATTTCCTTTTCTGGCTGAATTTGTAGCATTTTTAACACCAAACACAGAAATGGCGTTGGTTTAATATTCCCTCCAAATGTACCACCAACATGATCCAACTCCATTGCCTTGTCCACCAACAATTCAGCTGATTAAGAGAAGGGAAAGTGACCAGTGAGTTCATTAGGGACTGGAGATTAGAAAATTCCAACTGTTTCACTAAGTTCTCAACCTCAATTTCAAAGGCCTGAGGTACATGTGTGTTTTAACCAGACATTCAGGACCTTAAATGGTCAGAGTGACAACCCCATATAGAAAAACATTGATTATAATATGATTTTATACTTTCTTTTTGAATGTTTCAAAGGGCTGGATTTGTTTAACAAAGTGCTTTCAATAAGATTTTAGGTAAGGGGGGTTCCAACTTAAAAAAAGCATTTTTTGTGATCCAAGTGTTTGTCCTCATTGCTGTCAACTTCATAATTCAATATTAAGAATTTACTCCTCTACAACATTTCTGCACAAAAATGCTGATGACAAGGAAATTTACCATGGAAAACATTGAGATCTCACGGTACAGTATTCAAACTGTGCAATAATAATATGTTAGATTAATAGATTCAGCTTGGATCAATGTCTCATTAAAGTCCTGACCTGTCTTTGCTTTTCTCGAACGAAGGCTTGATACAGAATTAGGAAACAAAGCATGACCAAATGATGGATGGTTTCAGTTTTTTAAAACATACATGTAAAAATACCCTCTACTTGCATTCAGCGCTCGATTGTCCAATTTCTCATCTCATATTACCCAATTTTCAGGAAGAATTTCAACACTTTAGTGCTCCTATATATTATCACGGTACCTTTCTATACATAGATATTGACCACTCTGGTGAACTTGCATAGTTGTGGATTCAAACAAATGAAGTTTACACTGCTACAAACTCCAACAAATTTGGATACCAGAGATTAATATTTGAGTCAAATCTGCTCATGTTAGAGACAAGACTTACCTGAAAGCGCAAAACATTGCTCCTTCCAATATTTATTCTCATAAATACGTGAACGAACTATTTTCTCGATAAGATACTGTGGATTAGTTCCTTTGACGGTTTTCGCATCAGACACCGTGCGGTTCGCCATTTTGGATTTGATTGCTATTTCCAGACTCCTCGCGTGTAACTGTGCACCCACAATTCCTAGTGAATTTCCCTTTCGCCGATAATGGGCATTATTTGCTGATTGTTTTGACAGAATTTTGCCAATCTTCTTGGCTGTGATCACAGTTAAGAGTCAATCGGCTCTATAATGGAATATCTAGCGCCAGAACACCAAGATATTGCCAAAGAAGGACTTGATGAATTACGCCTAAACTTACCGTCAGCTGAAGAAGATGTCCTCGAGAAAGTAAAAGCGGAAGCAACGCCATTTCCTTGTCTGTTTAAAATAGCACAGGATTTCACGAGTAAAAATCTGCCGACCGCATCAATTATATGGGAATACTTGCTAGAGAAAGCCACGAGCAAGCAACAAAAATTTGATGTTATGAACAAACTCTTTCATGTTCAGATCGCAACAGGTCCTTGGAGAGTCGCTGTAGAGACAGCAAAGAAATTATATCAAGACACCGCTCTAGAGTTCTCATATGATGGTTTGAAGGGACTCACAGGAAATAAAAACCGTCTCGGTGCGTTTAATACAATTCATTCAAATAATACTTAGTATCATTAATAGTAGAATGTCCGATCACTTCGTATCGAATGTTTAATTTTTCCGCTTTATAGTTTTGATTGTCGCGCTAACTTCCTTGCGTGACTGCTCAAGGTATAGTCACGCTTTCCACATTTTGGTTATCGAAGGGGGCATTGATAAACAAGCATCAACAAATTTAAGTAGTATTTAAGAAGTTCCAAAAATGGATCCCCTGTCAAAGTTTCTTAATGTATCCCAAATAACTGGAGGCGAAATAACCCTTTTTTTTTCGATTAGAATCATATCTGAGTTTGGAGTGACGGAATTGAACTTAGATCGAAAAGGTAGGAAAGACTAAAGTTGGCAGAATGAAGATTTACCGAAGGTAACAATATGCCTGTCAAAATATCCGCAAAAAGAATGACTCTCGAAATACTACTGATGTATATTGTGGCTTTTGTCTTGTTATTTCTGCCGTTCTTTGTATTTTAAATAATTATTGTTATATCTTCATTAGAACCCCTTATAGCAGCACCACTCTTATTTGAAGCTGCTCTGAATCTCGGAACAATACATCGCCTTCTTAAAGAACTAAACGAAGCTGAGGAATTTTATCGGAAGGCGTGGAACATTGCTACATCTGTGAAAGATATTGACAGAGAATCCTTAGCTAAAATACATCTAGCAATTTGTTTGCTCGATCGCGGAGAACTAAGACAGGCCATAGACACCTATTTCAAGCCACTGATGGTTTCCAAAGCAACATTGAAACCTCGCACAAGAGCTCTTTACCTTCAATATTATGGTAATGCCTGTAGATCTGCGGCAGACTGGGGCAGAGCTAAAGAGTACCTCCGAGAAGCCCTGGACCTTGCCAAGAAAATTAAAGACGTTGGTCTTGTGTCTAGTTGCTGTGGGGACCTGGGTAACGTTTTCAGATCGGAAGGAAGGTAACGAGTTTTCTATGTAATTCAGAAATTCTCTCCTGTTGGTTTTACTGCGGCTTCTGCGGTGGCAACAGATAAGGTAGAGTTTCAGCTTAACAATTTGTTAGATACAAGGGTGTAGCCAGGGGTGCACGGTGACCCTCACATTCAACTTCTTCAAGAAAAAAACATAGTTGATGATCAACCTTGTTAGATGTTAGAGGGTAGGTACAGTATGCTTCGAAGATCTTGGGAGCTGAAGGATTATGTTTATCTTTTCAGTGTGTCTCCTCTAACCGCCCTATTCCTAACATAAATATACTCATCAAGCACTCATTCGTTCCAGGTTTAAAGATGCAGAGCAGCTCTTCTCACTTCACCACAAGTTCGCATTGAGCAGAGGAGACATCCATGGCCTGGCTATTGCTTGTGGCAATATCGGATTCTTGAAGTTTTACAACCCCGAAGAGTTTGATGATTCCGTGGTGTACCAGTTCGTTGAATACTCCCTTGCTGAGCAAGTGGGCGATTTTGCACGAATGGGAATTGCATTTAACAAAATTGGCAAACTATATACTGCACTGGGTTTCAATGAAGAAGCCGAAGAGATGTTCAAAATCGCCATCGATGGTGCACGCAGGGCGGACAATATTGCTGGCGAAGGGATGGCGTGGGGAAATTTAGGCACGGTCTACAGAGCTTTAGAAAGGTTTAAAGATGCGATTGATTGCCATGTAAAGTATCGAGATAATGCTGAAAGGCGAATGGATGTCGGTGGGGTAGCCATTATGCAGCATCAGTTAGCCATGGACTACATCCTTTCTGGAAAGCTACCGGAAGCAGAGAGGTCGGTTCTCGATGCGTTTCAAACACTGGAG